AGGTTTTCTAATATGAGATGAAGGGTTAACATTGCTGCATTTCTAGATAGAGGGCTGGGGCTCTCAGCCAGACTCTGGCGTTGTAAAAGCTTGACTTAGGGCAGTCTGAGAGAATTTTTACAGCAATGATGCTGTTTCTTGAGTGGAGAGCTTGAAGTTTTATCTCTTCTCTACAGGACATTTCCACAGAGTATCTGGATAAAGCAGAGATGCCCAGTAAATCCCAGTGCTCCCTTGTATCTGGTGATAAGATATTTTTCAGGTGGCTTCTTCAGCTACAGAGGAAGGTCTAATTCATTAAGTAGAGAACAAAAAAAAGAAATTAAGCAGGACAATGATGCGTGTGCAGGGAGGTGCTTTATAAAGCATTACCTGAGTAAATTTCTTGCCTTTTGCTGTATCTTTTTATTTCCTGCTATTTCTTGAGCTGGCAGGGCAGTTCTGGAAAGGTAAGGAGGGAGGGAACTGATTAAACAAGACCCAATTTTGAGGAAAGTGAAACTTCATAAGTGAGATTTTTTTTTTCATAGTAATGAGGTCTCAGAAATGGGGAAGGAGTGGAAAAAAGAAACAAGAAGAACTTAAAGGCTGGTGGGGAGCAGGAGATGGACAGAAGGGTTTGGCCAGTGCTCGCTTGGGGAAGAAGGGGCCTGGGGCATTGCCCTGGGCATGGGGCAGGGCAGGGCTGCTCCATTGCACCAACCCTGGGGATAAGACTCTGGTTTCTTTGATTCACTCATACTTCATCTTAAAACGAGCTGCTCGCTCCTCTCTGGGGAAGAAGAAAAACATCTGTGCAGTTTCTGCTTACACATCATAAGCTGCTTTAGTGAGGCTGAGTTATCAAGTACATGGTCGCTCTGACATTTAATCTTGCTGAAATGCAAATGATAAACCACGTGGTTTTTCTCATATAATTTTAAATTTTAATTTAAAATTGAATTTTAAATTCAGTACAGGTTTAAGTATACCGATGCCATTGTTCATGGTAAAGTTCTTCTGCAGTAGATAGAAGAGCAGCAGTTATTTTCTTGATATTTAACAGTG